TCTCACGAAAAGCACGGCATGATCAATTTTATTGATGTGCTTTTGAACTACTTGTTTCAAAATTTTTGAATTGTACTGAAGTCCATATTTAAGGTTTGATAGGCTGAGTCTATAGGGCTGTTTTGCGTAATGAATTTTCCTAGAAAGTGGGTCTTCTATTTAATAATCTATGTAGTCACCAATATATCCTGTTCAAATATTCATTGGCTATCTTTGCTTTTTTAAAATTCTCTCAAGAACTTCGGCGTAAAAATGTAAGTATATGGGCACTTAAACGTCTTCAGAATTAGCTATGGATTGCTATACTGGCATATCTGCCGTGGTGATCAGTTTACTTGTACTCAGATCATCCAAGAATTTGTCGCAGCTTTCATTTTCTCGGTCTCATACAAGTTAAAGTCTAGTTGTAATCTTAACTAACCTTTGGTAGATCCTGTGCCATACGGAAGTTTGCAAGGTTGTCCATCACGCTTGTGGCTTTATAGAATGGGTCATAATGCCTCAAAGATGTGTCAGTTTTTTGTAATATAGCTTTTTTGTTTCTAGCAGCTAGAATAGCTCGATTTAACTGAACTGCTATCTTACTCAGAACGAATCATTAAATCTGATATAAAATAATTTCCAGATAAATCTTATAAAATTGGTAACATTTTGATAAAGCTCTCAACTGTTGGAAAGACTGAACGGTCGAATAGGGTATCATGACCCATAGAAATCTTAAGATTTTCTCCATTTCCTAGAAACACTGGAGAAAGGAAAAGCAGTAAATGACACCGTTATTCAAATTGTTTGCACGAAACAGATGCGGTATCTGTATTTCTAAGAAAACCCCATACGCAGTTCTCTGAGCTCTGATAGCTAGGAGAAACTGCAGGCCAATCATTCTAGTGGGCAATTTAGTAACATGCTTATGGCGGCTAGCCCTGAGGGTGTGACGATAGGTGTATAGCAATATGACACACATGTGCGTAGCGCAGCAACTTCGTTCATCCAGGCATACACCCATTCT